AACGTTTCTTTTTAACAAGAAAACGAAGTCCAGATGACATGATTCAACCTTTTTTGTTGTTCACATGTAGAATGGTTGGGCAAACTCCTACGCACCCTCCAGGAATCTGCTGAGAGTGTAGAGTTGGTCCAGTGTTCCACAACCAGGATGAAAACCGCATTGCTCCTCCTGAATCCGAGGTTCAACTATCTGACAAACCCTCCTCTCCATAACCCCCGAATAGACCTTACCAGGGAGGCTTAAGAGTGCGATCCCCCTTTAGCCTCAGCCTCAAGTGACGCCCTCACATCCCTAAGAAACTTTCTGACGGGGCTAAATGCTAAGGAACTACTGCTAATTGGTGATCTAAACCTAGACTGGTTCACCTCTACATCTGACAATCTTAAATCCATCTGTGAATCATTAAATCTAACTCAACTAATTCAAACATCAACATGCCCAAATAACAAAACCCCTGAAAAATCCACCCTACTGGACCTTATCCTAACAAACATGCCTCACAAGTACACAAATACTGTACATGTGTTTTCGCTAATGACCTTAGTGATCACTGCACCATTGCAGCCGTAAGAAATGGAAAATTATCAAAATTAAAACCCACCATTATTTTCAAAAGGGATTTAAAACATTTCTGTGAGCAGGCCTTTTTTCATGACTTAGCCACTTTTGATTGGAATAACATTTCATTGATAGATGACGTAGAACTTGCACTGGCTTACTTCAACGAGGGTTTTCAAAACATAATCAACACACATGCTCCATATCGTAGATACAGAATAAAGGGACGTAAAAATCCTTGGTTTTCCACTGAGATAGGAAATCTGCTCAAAGAAAGAGATACTACCTGGGCTAAGGCCAGAAAATGAAAAACTGAACATGACTGGCTCAGCTTCCGACAACTTAGGAACAAATGCACAACCCTAATTAGAAATGCAAAATCAAATTACTACCTGGACGCATCCACAAAAAATCTAAATGATCCAAAAAGGTTTTGTTAAATAGTAAAATCAAATTCTGGTCAGACAACAACCACTGATTTACCCAGCTCCATTATGACCAGCTCAGGTATTCTGTCAGACAACTTATCAATTCTAAACTGTTTTAATGAACACTTTATATCCTCTGGCTCCCTGTTCGAATCTACGCATCCTGAAATGTTATCTGCTGACCAAACTGATGAAAATCCACCCCCAACTCCGCATGTGCTAGACAAACAGGTCACAAACCGCTTTGACTTTGTATCAATATCTCCCAGTGAGGTTCTAAATGCTCTAAAAACTCTTGACACACGCAAAGTAGCAGGACCTGACAACATAGAACCACTTTTCTTAAAACTAGCTGCAGATTTCATTGCTGAACCACTTTCATGTATTTTCAGTCTCAGTCTAAATACAAATACAATACCCAAAATCTGGAAATCGGCTTATGTTCTCCCTCTGCTAAAAGGGGGTGAACCAACTAATGTCAACAACTACAGACCAATTTCTAAATTATGTATTCTTGCTAAACTGTTCGAAAGACTTGTCTGTGATCAGCTAACTGTTTTTCTACAATCAAATAATATTTTATCACAATTCCAGTCAGGATTCAGAAAACAGCACAGTACCGTAACTACAGTTCTCAAAGTATTAAATGATATCATACATGCCCTGGACTGCAAACAATACTGTGTTGCCCTATTTATAGACCTATCCAAGGCATTTGATACAGTTGATCACAGACTATTGACTAACATCCTGAAACACTCTGGTCTATCAAAACTAGCAGTCTCCTGGTTCACCAACTATCTAACTGACAGAACACAGTCTGTCCATGTAGCCGGATCCTCCTCTACTTTCCTAGATGTTGTGAAAGGGGTGCCACAGGGTTCTGTCTTGGGTCCCATTCTTTTCTCCTTATATATCAACGATCTATGCAGTGATCTGTCAAACGCCTCCCACCATTATTATGCAGATGACACTATCATCTATTGCTGTTCATCCTCCCTCAGCCAAGCCTTCACCTCTCTTCAAGACGCTTTTAATATTATCCAGTCACGTCTGCAAAAACTTAGACTGGTCCTAAATGCTGACAAAAGCAAGATCATGGTTTTATCCAACAGAAAGCAGCAACCAGAGAACCCACCTCAAATTGAAACCCAAGAGGGAAAACAAATAGAAATGGTCTCCACCTACAAATATCTAGGTTTCAACATTGATAATAAACTGTCATTTAAAATCCGCATCTCCAAAATGGTCACCAAACTCAAACTGAAGCTAGGCTTCTACTTCAGAAATAAATCCTGCTTCTCATGTAAAGCCAGGAGAACATTAGTAGCTGCAACTTTCATGCCGATATTAGATTATGGTGACGTGCTGTACATGAGTGCTGCATCAAAATACCTACAGTCCTTAGACTCAGTTTATCATGGTGCCCTTCAATTCATTACTGATTCCAGTTATTGCACTCATCACTGTGAACTTTACGTCAAGTCTAGCTGGTCTTCTCTCAGTGCTCGCAGATACACTCACTGGATATCCTTCATCTGTAAGACCCTTCTAAACCTAGTCCCGTCATACCTTACCTCCCTAATACAAACATCACACAATCATTACTCCCTGCGCTCTAATGACTTAATCCTCCTGTCAGTTCCTCTGGTCAGAACTGAACCAGGAAAAAGAGCATTCAGCTTCGCCGTCCCCTCAGCCTGGAACAACTTACAGACAGATTTGAAACTATCAACATTCATCTCGCCTAGATCCTTCATGTCAACCGTATCAGATAATGTTATCAAAAATCTGGACCATTGCAGATGTTTCTAAAACACTACTTATCAAATATACATGTCTTTGTTGACTTTTAACTCTATCTACTTAAACTGATGTCTGTTCTACATTTAATGTCTACAGAAGTCTGTCTTATCCTGATGGTTTCAAACTGTTAACATTTATTTATCGTGATAGTAGTTTCTTTTTTTCTTTTGATAAATGCAAATGCTTATTGTCAATTACTCTGTGACGTGTGCTGATGACCACTTGACCAGGTCACCCTTGTGAAAGAGATCTCGATCTCAACGGGCTCTACCTGGTAAAATAAAGGTGATTGATTTATTTATTGATTGATTGATTGATTTTAGTTAGAACACACTCTACGGTCCCCCTTTTTGAATAGGGGGACCACAACCCCAGTCTGCCAATCCAAGGGAACTTCCCCTGATGTCCATGCAATACTGTAGAGTCGCGAAAGCCAACACAACCCCACAACATCCGGAGCCTTAAGGAACTCCGGGCGAATCTCATCCACCCCTGGGGCCCTGCCACCGAGGAGCTTTTTAACCACCTCGGTGACCTCAGCACCAGAGATTGGAGAGCCCGACCCAAAGTCCCCAGGCTCTGCTTCCTCAGTGGAAGACATGCCAGTGGGATTGAGGAGGTCTTCGAAGTACTCTGCCCACCGACCCACAACATCCCGAGTTGAGGTCAGCAGCACACCACCTCCACTATAAATAGTGTTGGTGGCATACCATATTCCCCCCCTGAGACGCCGGATGGTGGACCAAAATTGCCTCGAAGCCGTACGGAAGTCATTTTCCATGGCCTCTCCAAACTCCTCCCACGCCCAAGGTTTTGCCTCAGCGACCACCCGAGCTGCATGTCGTTTGGACTGCCGGTACCCATCAGCTGCTTCTGGGGTCCCACAGGCCAAAAAGGCCTGATAGGACTCCTTCTTCAGCCTGACAACATCCTTCACTGCTGGTGTCCACCACCGGGTTCGAGGTTTACTGCCGCGACAGGCACCGACAACCTTGCGGCCACAGCTTCGATAAGCTGCCTCGACAATAGAGGCGCGGAACATGGCCCACTCGGATTCCATGTTCCCCGCCTCCCCTGGAACTTGTTCAAAGCTCTCCCGGAGGTGGGAGTTAAAGCTCCGTCTCACGGGAGACTCTGCCAGAAGCTCCCAGCAGACCCTGACAATACGTTTGGGTCTGCCAGGTCTGACCGGCATCCTCCCCCACCATCGGAGCCAACTCGCCACCAGGTAGCGGTCAGTGGACAGCTCCGCCCCTCTCTTCACCCGAGTGTCCAAGACATGCGGCCATAGATCAGATGAGACGACAACAAAGTCGATCATCGAACTGCGGCCTTGGGTGTCCTGGTGCCAAGAGCACATATGGACACCCTTATGCCTGAACATGGTGTTTATTATGGACAATTCATGACGAGCACAGAAGTCCAATAACAGAACACCACTCGGGTTCAGATCAGGGGGGCCATTCCTCCCAACTACACCCTCCAGGTCTCACTGTCATTGCCCACGTGAGCGTTGAAGTCCCCCAGTAGAACAAGGGAGTCCCCAGGAGGTGCCCTCTCCAGTACCCCCTCCAAGGACTCCAAAAAGGGTGGGTAATCTGGGCTGCTGTTTGGCGCAAAAGCACAAACAACAGTCAGAACCCGTCCCCCCACATGTAGGCGGAGGGAGGCTACCTTCTCATTCACCGGGGTGAACCCCAATGTACAGGCACCAAGATGGGGGGCAACAAGTATGCCCACTCCTGCTCGGCGCCTCTCGCCAGGGGCAACTCCATAGTGGAAGAGTGTCCAACCCCTCTCAAGGAAACTGGCTCCAGAGCCAGAGCCATGCGTTGAGGTGAGTCTGACTATTTCTAGCTGGAACCTCTCAACCTCACACACCAGCTCAGGCTCCTTCCCCACCAGAGAGGTGACATTTCACGTCCCAATAGCCAGCTTCTGTAGCTGAGGATCAGACCGCAAGGGTCCCCGCCCTTGGCCACCACCCATCACACATTGCACCCAACCCCTTTGGCCCCTCCCACAGGTGGTAAGCCCATGGGAAGATGTATGATGATGATAATAATAATAATAATAAACTGTGTAAAAAATTAATTTACCTGACACATTTGACCCATCTGTAATTATTGTCGATACAGTTCTTTAAACATGGTGTAAATATTTAGTGTGGAGTGATGGTCTGACTCTTCCTGTCTGACCCAACTGCAGAGCAGAGTCTGGAGTTCAGCCTCACCGAGGAGTACTGCCGGAACCACTTCCTGGTGGGTCTGCTGCTCCGAGAGGTGGCTGAGGCCCTGCAGCAGGGGCCCGAGGTTCGACAGCTGGCCGTAGGCGTTCTGAAGAACCTGCTCATCAAACATGCCATGGACGATCGCTACACCGCGTACAAGGTAAGGAGAATAGGAGAAGTCGAATTAACAGAGGAAGTGGAGCACATTGTTCAGGATGATGAACTGGAGTTAAGCTCGTGTCACATCAAAATAATTTTATTATTCTACATGGTTTCTGTCTCCAAACACAGAACCGATCTTTCTCTGCTGTCAGGTTGTTTAATTTAAAACAATCTTATCGCTTTAAAGTTAATGTTTGATATGGTAACTGCTCTTGTGATCAACGGCGCGTTTTCTCTCCCCGCCCCCCCCCCCCCACCCCACAAAGATACCAGAGTCTGTTATGCAAAGAGGCCGTTGTTTAGAGTGCAGCACCGCTGACAGACGCTGCTGATAAAAAGGCATCAACTGACAGTATTACATCTCTCGATACCCACTGCCATCATTTATCTGCATCTGTACCACAGCCAGTGCTCTCCTATTGTCTTTAAACCATATTTTCAGATTTATTCAACTAAAAATGGTCTTTTTCCAAAAAATTTCTCCTAGAAATACAAGTGTAAATCTACTGAATGGCTACTTCTAAATTTGACCAGTGTTAAAGAACTGCATCATTATGACCCGCTGAGCAGGTTGAGGTGCAAAACCCTGAATATTAATGCAAAAATAAATAATTTAATGGGTAAAAGTGGGCAAAGAACTGTTAGAATAAATAGGTAAGTGTTAGAAGAACATAATGCTGATATGTGTTTCATACCTTGTCCACAAGGCTTTGGCTATTTTTAAAAACATATTTTCTGTTGGGTTTGCGCCTCAACACACAAACCGCTCTGGGCGGAGGAAATAAATCTAAAGTCGAAGCTTTTAAAAACCGGTCTCTCTTGTAAATAAGTCCTCGTGACTCAATGAGACTAACCTGTATGAACAAAAGTAGACAGAAAAAAACTAATTTCTTTTGCCTTGTGTGCACCGATGGTACAGAGCGTTTCAGAAATTTGCAACATCCTCTGAGGTATTTAGGTCACGTAAAAAAATATGTAGGAAAACAAGAAAAACAAGTTTCCTTATGTCTTTTTGATGGTTTTGTTTTTATGGAATTTATTCAAGTCACTACACATATTGCACATAATTGTGGAATCAGGAACTAAAAGAAAAAAACATTTTTCAGCTTTTTTTTTCTGGGTGGTTCAAATACTCTGTAGTTTTATCTTGATCCTGATATCAATAGACTTAGATTGTGTAGTGAAATGGTTATCCACTGATAGGATATTGATAAATGGTATCAAAGAACAAAAGGGCTACATTTGTTCTGGTAAAACCCTTTAGCCCTGCCTTCTTTTTATTTTGAAATATTTTTATTCTGGATGTTCTTGTCACTTATTGGTGTGGCATTGGTACTTCAATGTTTGGTGAAAATACATAAAAAAAATACCAATAAAAAACATCTGAAGTATTTCAGTTTAATTTGTATCGTGTCCTAAATGTAAAATCTGATGGAAGTTTTCTCTATTTCTTGTCAAGTTAAAAAAAAAAAAAAAAAAAAACAGTAGCTGGCTTGAAATTTGTTAAGAGTTTTAGGATAATAATTGTAACATTTTCAAGCTACAATATTCACTAATAAAAATTAGTTTTGTTGCTATTTTTGTTTTATTTCTGCTTTTTGTAAAAAATAAAATGTTTTCATTTATTGGTAATGTATTTTTTTATTGTGTGCTGGTTTAGTTTAGGAGTTTTAGACAGAGAGGCGGATAGATACAGTAAGACAGTACTTGGTGTGTCATCAGGAGAAAGAATACAGGTAGCAAAGGCAAAGCAGAAGGCATAAGATGAGTTGTATGGGAGGCTGGACACTAAAGAGGGTGAGAAGGACTTGTACCGATTGGCAAGACAGAGGGATCAGGCTGGAAAGGATGTGCAGCAGGTTAGGCTTGTTAAAGATCGGAATGGTAATATTTTAACAAGTGAGAAGAGTGTGATGAGAAGATGGAAGGAGTAATTTGAGGAGCTAATGAATTAAGAGAATGAAAGAGAAAGAAGAGTAGAGGTCATAGAAACTGTGGACCAGGAAGTGGGAAAGATTAGTGAGGGTGAAGTCCGGAAAGCTCTGAAAAGAATTAAGAAGGGGAGGGCAGTAGGACCTGATGACATACCAGTGGAGGTTTGGAAATGTATTGGAGAGATGGCAGTGAGGTTTTTGATTCAAATATTCAATGGCATATTTGAGGGTGAGAAAATGATTGAGGAATGGAGAAGAAGTGTGCTGGTGCCCAGTTTTAAGAACAAGGGTGATGTACAGAGTTGTAGCAACTACAGGGGAATTAAATTGATGAACCACATGATGAAGATCTGGGAGAGAGTTGTGGAAGCTAGACTTGGATGCGAGGTGACTATCTGTGAGCAGCAGTATGGTTTCATGCCAAGAAAGAGCACCACAGATGCCATCTTTGCTTTGAGAATGCTGATGGAGAAGTACAGAGAGGGTCAGAAATAACTCTACTGAGACTTTGTAGATTTATAAGAAGTATATGACAGGGTGCCCAGGGAGGAGGTGTGGTATTGCATGAGGAAATCTGGAGTGGCAGAAAAGTATGTTAGACTGGTACAGGACATGTATGAGGACAGCAGGACAGTGGCGAGATGTGCTGTAGGAGTGACAGATAGCTTTGAGGTGGAGATGGAAGTGCATCAAGGATCGGCTCTGAGCCCCTTCTTGTTTGCTCTGGTGATGGACCAACTAACAGATGAGGTCAGGCAGGAATCTCTATGGACTATGATGTTTGCAGATGACATTGTGAACTGTGGTGAGAACAGGGAACAGGTGGAAGAGAACTTGGAGAGGTGGAGGTATGCACTTGAAAGAAGAGGAATGAAAGTCAGCCACAGTAAGACAGAGTACATGTGTGTGAATGAGAGGGAGGCTGGTGGAACAGTGAGGCTACAAGGAGCAGAGGTCTCAAAGGTGCAGGACTTCAAGGACTTGGGGTCCACTGTCCAGGAAAATGGGGAATGTGGTAAAGAGGTGAAAAGGAGAGTCCAGGCAGGATGGAGTGGATGGAGAAAAGTTTCAGGAGTGATTTGTGACGAAAGGGTGTCAGCAAAAGTCATTGCTCGAAGCTCAAACACAGGTTTACAAGACATTGTTGAGACCAGCTATGTTGTATGGTCTGGAGACAGAGACATGGACAAAACGACAGGAGAAAGGACTGGAAGTGGCAGAAATAAAGATATTGAGGTTCGCCTTAAAAGTGACAAGGATGGAAAAATTAGGAATGAGATCATCAGAAATACAGGAAAGTTTGAACAACTGGGAGATAAAGTTAGGGAGACCAGACTGTTTGGACATGTCCAGAGGAGGGACAGTTGGTGTACTGGTAGAAGGATGTTAGAAATGCAGCTGCCTGGAAAAAGACAAAGAGGAGATATATGGATGCAGAACATGGAGGTAGTTGGAGTGAGGACAGAGTGAGATGGAGGAGGATGACTCGCTGTGGAGACCCCTGAAGAGGGATAGCTGAAAGAAGTAGTTAAAGGTTTAGAGTTAACCAGCTACATGAATACATACACATGGACTGACTTTAGAGAGAACTTCATGTAGAAAATAATGAGTGAAGAACAGAAAGCCAAAAACCATATTATTAAAAACCTACATAGAACACGTCAGCACTGTTTAACTTATTTACTTTGATTAAGTTTGTCAGAAAATGGTGAATGCACTTCAACGACACGTGCAACCTAACAAATTGAATTCCTGCTCACCAGTGTTTATTTGCTCTTTTGAATTTTATAAATTGCTAATCACGTTTTCTTCATTGTATCAGAACCAACAGGCCAGAATCTGCATGTTGTACCTCCCAATATACGAGCTGCTCTACCAGAACTTGAAGCAGCTGTCTGCTCAGCCACAGAACTCCAGTCCCGGGCTTGGTCTAAATGTGAGTCCTCCCTTTACAAAAATCACTGGGCTTAATGTTTTGTTGTGGCTCACATCTGTTTCTAATAAGAAATGCTAAAATACATGTCGAAATATTGCTGTGTCCATTTAAAAAATGTCTATATACCACTGAGAAGAGTCTTTTTTACACTTAAAATGCTCTTTGTCAGATAAAAAGAAACATCGATGCTCTAGGGTAAAAGATGAGGTACAGTCATTTACAGGTACATCTCAAAAAAATTTAATATTGTGTTTTGTCAATATTTTCAGAAGGTGAAACTCGTATATAAACTCATAGATTCATTAAACATAGAGTCAAATATTTCAAGCCTTTATTCCTTGTCATTTTGATGATTATGGATGGGATATTCCATCCATCCATCCATCCATTATCTTTACCCGCTTATTCCATTTTGGGTCACGGGGGTCGCCGGTGCCCATGTCCAGCAATCACTGTGCGAGGGGCGGGGTACACCCTGGACAGGTCGCAAGTCCATCACAGGGACACAGAGAGACAAAAAACCATTCACTCTCTCACTCACACCTAGGGACAATTTAGAGTTACCAATCAGTCTAACATGCATGTTTTTGGTCTGTGGGAGGAAACCGGAGTACCTGGAGAAAACCCACGCATGCACGGAGAGAACATGCAAACTCCACCCAGAAAGGCCCCTGGATCGGGGTTTGAACCAAGGACCTGCTCGCTGAGAGGCAACAGCTCTACCAGTTGCGCCACCGTGCTGCTGGATGGGATATTGAAAAACCAAAATTCAGTGTCTCAGAAAATGAGAATAATCCACAGCCAGCTTCTGGTACTTTTGTCAGTGTGGGTCAGACCGAGTCCTGCTGGAAAATGAAACCAGCATCTCCATAAAGCTCGTCAGCAGAAGGAAGCATGAAGAGCTTTAAAATGTTCTGCTAGATGCTGCGTGAACTGTGGACTTCAGAAAACCCACTAGACCAGAACCAGCAGAGGACATGGACCCAAACCATCACTGACTGGAAACTTCACTCTGGACTTCAACAACATGGGTTTTGGGCCTCTCCACTCTTCATCCAGACTCTGAGACCTTGATTTATAAATGATGTGCAGAATTTACCTGAAAAGAGGATATTGGACCACTGAGCAGCAGTCCAGTTCTTTGTCTCCTCAGCAGGTAAGACACTTCTGATGTTGTCTCTGGTTCAGGAGTGGCTGGACTCGAGGAATGAGACATTTGTAGCTCATGTCCAGGAGTTAATCAGCTGATCAGTCTGTGACACCAGGAGTTTACAATATTCAACCTCTTCACAATAATCTTATTTTCTGTGACCCTTCATTTTGGTTTTTCATTAATTGTAAGTCAAAATCATCAAAATTACAAGAAGCAGTTTTGAAATATTTCACCCTGTGTAATGAATCTATATCATATAATGTACAAAACAAGGATGGAACAGGCACTTAAAGATTATTTTTTTTATTTTATTATATCTTAATCAACTTTTGTCTCCCATCATAGAGCAAACAGGTCCGTCCGTCTGTCTGTGAATGTTGTGAGCGCATTAACTTGAAAAATAAACGAGGTAGGATCTGTCACTCTGCACTGCTTCAGACAAGCAAAAAAAACCTACCTCTGTTTTTATACACTGACTTCTATCCACCTGATTATCTTACACCAAAAACATTAAAGTTTACCTGCATTCCCTGTTCAGGTCCAGTCCAGAAAAACACTCATCTCATCAACTACAAACATCCATTATTCAAATCCCTCAGCGACGGTGGACATTGATGTACTGTTTGCAAAATTTGGGAATTCCAACCTCAACAAAAAAAGTATTACTGTATTTATTAAGTAACCAAAAACGTATAAAATAGAAAACTATCAATGTGATAAACTGTTCATTCCATCTTGATTCAGAAGTTTTAAAACCACTTTTATCGTTCAATTCAATTCAAAAATACTTTATTAATCCCAAAGGGAAATTAAATGTTGTAACTCATCATCCTCGTTTCATTACGATATGTTATCGATACTGATGGCTGTAGAAAGGAAGGATCTCTTGTAAAGGTCCATCCAGCAGATCCGAAGAAACTGGCTGCAGATGCTGTTCGATCCGTTCACCTAGACTTGGCTTGCCTCTGGTTATCCCGGGCTGCAGGACCGCCCGAATGCTGGACATAACTCCTCCCAGAGCGATGGCCACTCCTGCCAGCAGCCCGCCGAGCTCCTCATTGCTGCAGACAGCTGGCTGTAGGTGTCTGAGGACGATTTCAGTCCTTCTGCTGTCATGAGCCGAGTTTCCTGCTAGTTCCAGGATCTCAGTGGTCAGGCACTCAAGCACAGCCGGCAGGGAGACGAGAATGCATCCACGGAGCCTCCTTTTCAACTCATTTGAGATTTTGGGCTGTAGCTGAGATATTATTGGAACTTTTGAGATGTTAATCAGCTCCCAGTTGTAAAAACCACCTTGTTGTCATGGTTACGCATCACAACAATCATATCATATCATGAGTAATATTTAGAAATTATTCTGTAACTTTGTTATGTGACTATTCATTCTCATGACATTGTGGAGAGCTTTAAGGCAACTTTTTTTTTTACATCATATTTTACTCATTTTGACCAGAACATGTAGGAAGCACTTAGTGTTTGGTCTGAGTCTTGTTTTTTTTGTGGTCTGCCAGGGCTCCAGAGATGACCTGATATCAATTGGTTCTACCGACAGCAAGAGAATCAGCACTGCGATCGACAAAGACCACGGTGAGTAGAGAACCACAGATACTGCACACAACGTACGCCATCTGGCCTCTTCCTGTTTACACATCATCCAGTGTTGTCACCACACTGGACCACAGAACCACATCAAGACTCATGTAACACAACTCCATCCATTAGCAGCACTCTGTGGGAAAGGCCCAGCTGTGTAGTGCGCGTGTATTACTTTTATTTCTTCTTGGGGTTTCTTAATACAGTAATTTTGCTTTCCCTCACCACTCTTCTTGTCCTAAGGACTTTTTGGACATCTTTCACCAGTGACACAGTAATGATGATTATAAGATGAAAGGGCAAGGATATCACAGTTATATTAAAAGAAAGTAGCAGAAGTTTGAAATGTTCTTAACCCAGTGTGAATTAGTGTTCCTTCATCAGTTCTGATAAAATTCTTTGACGCCGGTGTGGCAGGTTGTTAAGAAAGACGTTGATTGGCTAGTGGACATTTAAAGCACAATATTTTTAAAGACATTAGGTGTTTTGAAAAAACTTAGACTAAATGATTACAGACAACTCGTTTGTTTTGCACTATTTATTTCAGTAAGGATTCTCAGTAATGGCAGTCAGAACATGCTGGTGGGCAATTTGAAAAATGTTTCTCAACTGTGACTATGTAGTCAGGTGTGTTCTCCAGGGATCAGTTCTGGGGCCATTACATTTGCTTTGATAGTCGCTAACGGCCATTCTTTAAGCGATTAAAGTTCAAAAATTTTCAGTCAGGTCATCCGGATGGTTTCTTGGTTTTGTGCTGAGACATTTTGCCCTCCATCTGGAAGGCTTCATCAGTCTGAGGAAACACCAAACAAAATGTATTCTCCCCCAACAGCTTACTCCAAAGTGGGAAAAAAAACAGTTATGTTGGTGCTAAGATGGTCTCTGGGGCACACCTTCTCCTCCGGTGCCTGCCCTCTCCCTCGTCGACAGTCATGCCAAACTGGTTCAAAACACCAAAGTCCATGCTCAATAATCCAGGTATAAAATCCAACAATGTTCAGTCACGTCATCTGGATGGTTTCTTTGTTTGTTTGTCTTTGTTGAACATTGTTGGATTTTATACCCGGATTATTGAGCATGGACTTTGCAGTTAAAAGTTCATTTAAGATCTTTGCTGTCCCCTGTCATTGAGTGAAAAGGGGAAATTGGATGATTGCTGTGTTTCCCCTAGATAACTTGCCATGGCGGGGTGCTCATCTTGTCCGTGATTTTTGTCTGGGGGGGAGGGAGACGGACGGACGAAGACATGTCCTGAACTCCACAGCGCTCTGTTTATACCGACAGTTTTAGATCAAGGGGGTGGGGGGTGCGCATGGTTCTGTTGATGGGGCGGGGCGCCCTGCTTGTATAATGGTAGGGGAAACATTGGATTGACCCTCTGTCCACCCATTTGTTTGTGCATGTGAGCGCAATAACTTGAAACATGAGTGAGGCACCGACTTCTGTCTAGGTGTGTGGCTACATCTAGACGTAAGAAAGATTCATGAGTTACAGATTAATTTTGACTACCTCTATCATTTGCGTAACATGTTATCTAGTTTTATATTCCTCAAAAGTATAGTTTCCTCAAATGATCAGGGTGGCCCTTGGTGTGCCCGAACGTTCATCTGTGGTGGCCACGACCACCAATGGCCACTCCCTGGCTCTGCCATTGTGACTTGTGCTGGATAAAATTGCTCCCTCCACTCTCCAGGATCCGTCACTCTGTGCTGCCTCGGACACGATAAAAACAACAGCCTACCACTGTTTTCATACACACTGTGACAACTTCCCACTTTAATATCTTGCACCAAAACTTGATTCATTCAACCTTTATTTATACAGGTTAGTCTCATTGAGCCACGAGGACTCATTTACAAGAGAGACCTGTGAGGTTCACTTGTGTTTCCTGTTTGATTCAAGTCCAGAAAAACATGAAAAACTCATCTTGAAAACTACAAACATTCACTTCTCAAATCCCTCAGCGATGGAGGACAAGTGTATCGCTTGCTTAAAACTTTGGCAGGCAAATGGTTTCCTTCAAAGAATGCTAGTTTTTAATATGACTGTTTTCAGTTGCTGGACGTTCTTGCTGAACTAATTTAAACTCTGAGTTAAATCTAAAGGGTATTTCAGGTGAATAAAAATACCATTCTCTGAAGGAATGCATATTACCCGCCACTGTAATTGCCCAAATTTAAAGTTAAGATTGTTCATTCTTCAGGTTTGAGGATGACTTGCAGCTACTAACATACCGAACTTTAGCTCGATAGCTGTGATAGAGTTAAAGCCATTTTAGTCTTTGTCAAGTCTTTTATTCAGACCTTTTAATTCAAATCTGACAAAAGCAGAGATCTCATGACCTTTGGCCTCAAGTATTTTTTTTTACTCCTTTGGTTATTTTTTTGTTTTTTAATGAAATACAGCTGTTGGGTTCAGTCTCTGTTACATGGAACTGTTAGTGGATCCTGTTGTGTAAAATCCTGACTTGTACTCCAATAAAGGGGCTTCTGTTGTCGGTTTACCAACCAGCTGTTGTGTTAACATTACAAGTTGTTTAGTTTCAATAATAATTCTGCTCTGCACCGCTTCCAGCTCTTCCGAACGGCCAAATGGTGCGGCGAGAGGACTCCAGAGGCTCTCTGTTTATGGACTCAGGAACTCCAGACCTCATTGAGGTGAGAACGCCTTTTATATACTCACAACAGTTTAAGAGTTAAACTGGAACATTGTGAGGTACAGAGGAGCTTGTAGGACTGATGGTAAAGGTGCATAAGTTCAAAGTGCCTTTATTAGACTCAGGAGAAATTTGCTTTGGATAAAAAAGTCTGTTGCACAAAAAACACGTTCCACATAAATCTCACATACAAATTTACCTACATACATTCCCTGTCTCTGTTTGTCCTGTGTCATCTGCTCATTAATGAACTTCCTGAAGGAGTTCTTGTACATAAAGGAACCCAGCATCTTCTTCCTGAGTTCAGTTAAACCTGTTCTGAGTGCAGAACATGAGGCGTCAGACACTATCTGAGGGCCGTCTGCTCAAACAGATCCTGGAAAGTTAGAGGTGTAGCTGGACCCATAGTTTGACCTGTTGTCTTCAGCAGATTTAATACAAACTTTAAATCTGAAGTGTCGACAAATTCGCAAACATCAGCAGCTGTTTCAGCTGAATGCGTGGAGTATTTGCTGAGCTTGGCAGCACTCAGACTATGTGTGAACTATATGTGGTGCTGTATAAAAGCTGAGGAGGCTGATCATTATCAGGGCTGTGGAACTTTCTGGCAGTGTCCACGAACAGTTAGAAGGAATAAATCTTGGAGAAGTTGTAAGCTCGACTTGGTGTAAGTAATCAAATTTGACTGTTTGGAGTCACCATGAGAAAATGTACTAGTGAGACTGTTACGGTAGACACAGAAATTTACGAGTTCAGCCTGACCCAAAACAATGTTGATATCTGAATCTGGACCTGGCATGGCAGACTATCTAAATTTCCCCTTGGATGTTGTGGAAACAAAGATACTCTGTCCCCCTCTCCACCCCCTCCCTTCCCCCAAGGTTGAGGACCCTCCCTAGCCTCCCCTAGTGCAGCAGCCTAGGAGATGCGAAGGTGCCATGGGCTACATCGCTCACCTGGTGGCTGTGCTGAGACCCCCCCACCCCATACTCACTCCACAAGCACATGTATTGTGTTGCTTTACTGTGGAAGATTTTTTTTATTCTTCAAACTGTGCCCTGTCAAGAACACGGTGTGAGAGATCTTTTTTTTTAATACCTCCATGTTTTTGTCCCCTTTTCCTTATCTAAGCCTATCTTTTAAAGTGCTTTATTAATAAAGTGGTATTGTATTGTATCTAAGCAACAGGGGCAGCGCATCTTAGAAGCTGCAGCCCCCTGAACACTTCTGTCCATCTTTAGGACGGTTGTACGGAAAGTAGTTTCGTTGTACTTCATTGTGCAAGGACAATAAAAGCATTCTGATTCTGATCTCACCATTTTACAAAGTCAGCAACCCTGTCACATCTGTGGCTTTCTGAGTTGAAGTTGGTTTATAGCAGGCTCAGTATTACAGTGTCATCTGAAAATGTTACCACATACTGGTCCAGCAGGGAGCTGGCACAATCATTAGTATATAATGTGAATAAAATGATGAGCTGACACAGTCCTGAGGGACTCCAATGTTACCATATGCAGTATGTGAGTGCACAGAGTTGAATTTTACCTGCTGTGGCCTGTTTGACAAGAAAGAGTGGTAGAGAAGCAGTGGTACAAATGACCAAGTACTGTATAATATTTTGTCTCATTTGTTTCACTGGGTCATCTACTTCTAGGACGTCTGAAAATCTGATGATGTTTTAGGTCATATTTATGCAGACGTATATAAAATTATAAAGGGTTCACAAACTTTCAAGCACCACTGTACACAGCAGTGGCCATCTTGGATCTTGACAGGAACCTTTCTTATGCCTAGATGCAGCCACTCACCAAAATGCAAAATGGAAGTCTGTATTTCTCCTATTTTTCTAGTTATGCTCACAACTCGCACAGATGGAGGATTTTTCCAATTTTCCTTTTCCAAGGGACAACAAACTCAAGAACTCCTAATAAATATTTTCCTTTCTGGTGTCTCTCAGCTTTGTCTTTTTGATACAACGCTGCTTGAGTAATGATAAACTCACCATCTTTGTTTAAACAGCGTCTCAGTTCCAAGAGCAAGGCCGAAAACAAAGAACTGTGTGTTGATCCGCTTTTCGTCGTTTACTACTGCCTCCAAGACAGAGTGTTGTGTTCATTATTCAGAAATGTGAAGCTGTGTCGTAACATTTAAGAACCAAAAATCATTAAAATAATTAAAAACGTGAAAACATGTTTTTTGGTTCGCAGTGAGAGAAGGGAACAGAACCTTCGGTCCAGATGAAACAAGGCTGCAGGTGGTGAGACAGAAGCTTGTTAAAACATTTAAATGAAAGCAGAACTCTAAACACTGAAGCTCTTTATCCCACTGAACCTTTCTCCATCTGACACAAACCATACACTATGTTACATTTTTGGAACATCCATCCCAACATCTTGTTAGTAAAAAGACAGAAATAAAAGTTTGAATGTGAACCGATAGCCATTTTGTGTTGCACAAAAGTTTTTCCAGGACTGATCTGGTTCATTGGTTATTGTATTTTCAGTAGTTCCTTTGAAATGTTTCTGTTGACTCTTGATGACATGCTGGCGCCGTCGCAGCATCGTCCTGGTGACTCCTGACAGGTTGAACTGTTTGTACATGTTTATCTGATTGTTTGATGAAGACTCGTCGCTGCTGGGGTGTGTTTGTGTTGAAGGTTTTGTATTTTATTGCATATTCTATACACTGTGTTTGAAAAGCTACCTTGCTCAACTATGAGTGAACCTTAAAGTGCAAGCTTTTAAATTGATTACTTTTTCTAATCGTTGAATAGATTCTAATGCTTTTTGGGCCCCGTTGCAGAGCAAAGAGGGAGAATTGCAATTACCCTCTTGTCTGTGCGTGTTGTGAGCATGATGACTTGGAAAAATAGGTGAGGTACCATCTTTCATTTTTGTGCGTGCCTGCATCTAGACGTAAGAAAGCTTCCAATCAAATATTGGGTTGCAATGTTAAAATCCAAGATGGCCACCACCAATCCGTATCTTTTGAAAGCGTTATGCTTTTTTGGATATCTTGATGCATGCTCAATAATCCAGGTAGAAAAATCTAAAAAAGATAAGTCAGGGCCTCTGGATGGATTCTTCTTGTTTTTTTATTTTATTTATGTTTTAAATCAAAGTCTTTTTATTCAATTAATTTTTTTTTGAACATACAACAACAAAAAAGACGAAACATAGAACAACCCCCCACCACAACCCCACCACCCCTTCCCTCCCACACCATATCAGTCACACACAAACAAATGAATTAGCTAGGCATTGACAAGTTTTCCACATACATCATAACAGGCTGCCAAGTGCCCCAAAATCTTTGAACAAAACCCCTCAGGGTATATCTGATTTTTTTTCTCAATAAATATGATACATCACTTCCCTTATCCAGTGAACATATGCTGGGGGAGTGGGTCCTTCCATTTACATAAACAAGTCTTCTGACCAGAAGAGACCCAGAAGCAATCACATCCTTCTTGCACTTGCTGAAGGGCGTATCCACAGGGACCACCCCGAACAGTGACATGAATGGTGATGGGTTGAGTTTTTCCACATATCCCAGAGAAGGTGTCAAAAATAGATTGACAAAAGATCTGCAGCCTGGGACAGGTACAGAATGTATGCAAGAGTGTAGCTGGAGTTTGTTTACAATGATTACATACTGAAGGAGTAAACATATGATTATTTGACACAGGTGCCAAAAATTGTAAATCTGTAAAGTTAAATGCCCTCCTGAACTGATTCCACATCTTAGCCGCCCAGATCACAATTGGGTTAGAAGTGTAGGTTGATATTGACTGTTTAAAAGGTAGCTGAGAGCAGAGTAATGCATAAAGAGAGCTGGATCTAATTAGGCCCTCTCCAAAGTCACCCAACTGGGAAAACGGGTGTCCTTACCCAACCATAATAGTAGAGCTCTGATATTAGTTGCCCAGTTATAGTGCATGAAGTTAGGAAGTGACATACCTCCAAGCCTGCGGGGCAGATGTAAGATCCTCTTGGTAGAGTTGCATTCGGGCCCAAAAAATCCGATCCGACCCGGCCCCAGCCAGCAGTCATCATTTTCGAACCCCACCTGATCCGACGAATTAACAGTAATTACAGGTCCGAACCCATAAACAACCCGACATTTTTAATTAACAGTCGGAGACTAAATGGGGCAGAAGATCGGAGCTGAGGTGGTGTTTGTCCTTTCATGGCTGTAAAAGAGCATTTAAACCCTGTTTCTGCCTGCATTCTTCTGCATTACTCAGACATGCAGACAGCTCTGGCTGGAATTTTTGATGTGAGTGGGTTGTCAGCTTCACCTAGCTCTCTGACACACGTCTGCTTTGTGATCTCACCTATTTGGGTCGTCGACCTTGCACATCCGCTGAGTGCAGCAGCTGAATGAACGTCCATTTGGGCGATGGATCACTTCTTGGGAGTACAGTCCCATCTGAAGCTTAACTGAACTTTTTACCTCTTTCTTGGCCTGTCAGCTCGCGGTGAAATGGCCACGTGCTGCTGTTGATAGTACGGCAGGCCATGTTATCATATATTTGGATCGCGGCTGATTCTGACCTTATTAAAAACCTGACACAGACCTGGCCTGCCCATCCAGCACGTTATTATGGCCCGCCCCGCCCCGAATTCGGGTCGGATGGGACCGGGTTTAGGGCTCGAGTTAGAAATGACAGCTCTACCTCTTGGCAATCCATGGATGCTTTTTATTCCAAATAAACACTGATATCTGGCTGTTCAGATTGGTGATCAACGATTTAGTTACCAAGATTGACAGATTCTGAAACATGTGTATAAATTTAGGTAAGATATTTATTTTTATAAAGTTTATTCTACCCCCCAGAGTGTGAGGCAGACTGCCATCTAGCAGTATCTTGCTATTTCATGTTGCTGTGTTCATTCGTACTCATCTGCTCACACAGACTCATGTTTGTGCTGCTGTTCCTCATATTGTTTTTATACTATTAGTGCTTAGTGTATTTTTATTAACATTTTTCTTAGTTCATATCTTAGATCTTATTACTGTTTTTCTTTTACAATTTAATATTTTTGTTGGATGTAACTGGGACCCTGTGTACACAATTTTGTTCCACCACATGACAAATAAAGAACCTTAAATTCTTGAATCCTTAAGGTTCACCATGAGAGGTAGATAATTAATTTTAAAAGGTATGGTGTCTAAGACTTTCTTTTCTATAGAGGTCACAGGTATCAGCTGGCTCTTTTGAAGATTAACCTTATAGCCAGACATTTTTCCAAATTTTTGAATCAAAGTAAGTAATTCAGGAATGCGGGTGAGAGGGTCCGATATATACAAAAGCATGTCATCCACATATAAAGAAACTTTGCGCTCTGTACCTAATCATTAACCCCCTTAATAATGGAGT